TCACATCTCTGCAAAATCCACTTCTCCATTTCTGGAAAAGGGGAAAAAATAATAATTTTTGAAAAAATACTGAGTTATCTGATGAGGCATCTTGGCAACTAGATTGCACGTCTGCTTGTTTAACACACGGCACGTGCAGGATGTGACCCCTGTGATCTCCGCCCTCGTGTCAGCGGCTCTCTAATTTTCACACCCTGCCAGGGAGCGCTGATTCAGGACACACCAGACTCCGGAGGCAGCTGATTGTGGCTGGCTGTATAAAATATATCAGCTTTCGGCTGGATGGGAAAAGGGGAAGGGGGTGGGGGGGGGGGGGAAGCGGGTTTAAGGAAAGGGGGGTGGGCGTGGAGGGAATCCCCCATTACTAACATATACTCACCCATGCTTACAACATAAAAGTATCTTTTATCTTTGTTTTAAATAGTCACACGGTTTAAAACTAGTTGTATAAATACACGGATTCCTCCGTTTACCCACTGACGCAAGAACAACCCTTAGACAATTGGTTATTTCACAGGCGAGAGAGATGAGATAGGAGATTAAAATGTGATGTGGAATACAGAAGGAGATCTATTGAAAGTCACCGGGGCACTTATGGAAATAACTGTACACTTCTTTTTTTTTCTGCATTTGTCTGTCAGTGGACGGTTGACACTTTGTGTCGTCGTTTACAGCAAGGCTGCGATAGCTTCTGCACCTCTTGGTCCAACACATCTGATTTCAGCAAATTCTTAATTAGTCGCCTCTTACAATTTGCTTGTAAGGGAACAGTGGCTCTATTTTCTTATCTTCATCAAACAGGGTGAGGAAATCAACACATAGATCAGTGTGCAATAAACGTGATAACATCAAAAACCAAAATTAGACGTATGAATTCAAGTCAAATTTTTATTGTCAGTATTGTACGTAAAGTCGACAGACAAGGCACATTGTATTGTTTGCATTAAACACAAACAGATTAAAAAACAAGGAATGTGGTTTGAAAAAGGCAATCAGTCAAATATAATTGCTTTAAGTGTCTGTATCCATGGCGACTTGCAAGACAGACATAATTACAATATGTGACTGATCAAAAAAATTCAAGCAAGTAAATGCCTAAAGGGCTGAATCTTAGTCCTGTCATATAAACATACTCATAAACAATGTTTACAGTTGATAATTTTCATGTATACTAAATCCTACTACAAGGTGCAGAAATTTAGACTCAAAAGAGAAAAGAGGCAAGAGAAAGTAGAACTGGGGACCATTAGATGTAGATTTACACGAAATAATATGTCGTATTTTAAGAAAACGAGCAAGATAAACTACATATATTCTGGACAGATTTAGTGTTTAAAAACATCTCCACTCTAGGATCGCTGTTCCTAGGAATAACATCTCAGGGAATCCCCGTTCAACCGTAAAGCACAGTTTTATTGGGGCACCACAAAAAGGTTACGACCTGAACTTAGTGGTGTCTTCTTCTTCTTTTTCTTCGCGTTCACCTGTTGGACTGCAGTCCTGTTCTAGAACTTGAGTGCTGCTTGTGCATCCATTTTATAAATCTGACTCATTTGGATGCAGACTGTTGGTTCTTTGCCTCTCAGGCAGACCACTCAGATTTCTAAGGAACCAACACGCACTCTGATTTTGAACGAAGCTCCCAATTAGACGACTTTTACGACATGCTTTTGGGTAGACAGTGGGTCTATTCTTGTTTTCCCTAGAACAGGGTCCCGGAACCCACACGGGGATGTAGTCTAGTAAACGTGGGTCTTCTTGCAACATTGGACAGGTTGCAGATGTAGTGAACATTATTAAAAGAAACACAATCAGCGACAAGTTACATAGTTAATGCATATTAAAAGGTATAACCATTTTTAAAACGCACACTGAATAGAAAAGTTGGACGAGTGCAGGAAGGAGATAGAAGACGATACAAGTAGGACGAAAATATGGACGAATCGTAGAAAGGCTAAAATAAGGGCGTGTACAAAGTGTCTTTAAAGATCCACTGCAACCAACCTTAATTATGGAAATGGCTCCTGGTCGATTGACTGAACGATTGATTGAATGACTGAACGATCGATTGATTGATTGATTGATTCATACAGCAATTTTTTTGTACTATAGGATCAGAAGTACACGTTACTGAGTGACCTACCAGAACTAAACGTTAGAGCCAACTATAAGGATAAAGTTACATCTGAAAGACAATTGCATCATCAGTGCTCCCCAATTACTCAGTCAGGGAAAAAAATGTGTACAAAAGTGTAAAACTGTGCAAGAAGCAAATTTTATGACAAGACAGTGTGTTGTTCATGTGAAATCAAGAATATAAATGTGATCAGGCTGGTTAAAGGTGCATGGATAGAGGGATAGGGGAGACATAGAGATGAAGATATCGAAGAATGTGTGAAAGACAGGTTAGTGAGAACACGTGTAAGAAAGAGAATTATAAAGTTGGGGGGGGGGGGAGGGGGAATGAGACAAAATCGCTACGAGGCAAACATGGAAGACGATGCGACAATGAGAGTCGTAACAAGAGAGAAAAAGAGAGCAAGTAGAGACAGAAAGAGTGAGAAAGAGAGACAATGAGGAAAAGGAAAGAAGGCAAGAGAGAGAAATAGAGAGAGAGAGAGAGAGAGAGAGAGAGAGAAAGAGAGAGAGAGAGAGAGAGAGAGAGAGAGAGAGAGAGAGAATTACATACAGGAAAGAAAATATATGCCAAAAGAAAGACGGGAAGTGGGGAACAAAGCGAACTAATAGCTTTCAAAGTAATGTGCAAAATAAGACAGGACACCGAAACATAGTGCAAAAGAAAAAGTAATCATGCAAGAATGACTTAACGTATTTATATTTCATGAAAGAATTAATAATGAGCATTCACTGAAATAACATGCATCGCCAATGATTGACGGTTAGTTAATCCGTTCTGGTGGTTTTCCGACAAAAGTATTATAGTGCTGTCCTGAAAAACGTCATATTCCCAAGGACAGCAGTGGTACACTGTAGTTACCCTTCATTGTGAAGACGGCACATGTTTAAACAATTATAATTTACAAATCAAAAATGGTGACTATTCATGCTTTAAAAAATAAATAACACGAGTATTCAGTCTTTCAGCAACCCCTTTTGTTACTTATATTTTAGGTTTTCCAACTCATTTTCCTAACAAGTCAGTGTGCGTTTCATTAGTTTCCCTTACGTAACCATTTTACTTCCGAGTGTGAATGTGTTGCCCCATTTAACATCATCATCGCATTAGTGTGCCGTTCTGGGTGGCGTAGACATTCTTGTTTCTTCACAGACCATAGCGTTTTTTTCTCTCTGGGTCAGCTCCATTGCTAAAAATCTGCATACATAAGTGTCGAATAAATATAACATTTGATAGAAAAATCTACCATATGTTATTTGTTATTATAGTGACCACTACAGGTGACTAAGTGCTAATACACTGTGTGCAAGCGGGACATGAATGATACATATATTGAGGTAGATTAGTGGAAACAAAATGCCATGCATAGTGTTCAGTGGAAAGGGAAAATCGGAAAGGCAATGGGTAGAAAAGGAGAAAAATAATTGCAGAGAGACTGAGAGCTAACCGTGTAAGGAAAAGCGCATGAAAGTTTTGTGATAACAGCTACAGTCCTGAAATCCGGTGCTCTAATTGTGGAAGGCTTTTCTTAACGCGGGCGGGTATTGCTGGTCACACTCGCCATCGCCATAGGCTGCGATTCTCATGTCTTCTTACAGTACAATACAACACTGCCGTCCGGGACGACGAAAATGTGCCAACACCCGAACATCAGCACCATTACAATGGCTTTCGAGTTGGCGTAGATGCTTAGATGCTTATGTTTGTCCAAAGACCACTGCGTTTTTGTGCTCTGGTTCAGTTCTACTGTTGAAATTTGCATACCGAAATGTCATGTGGGCAAAACATTTGACAGAGAAATCCGTTATTGTATGCTATTTGTTATTATAGTTATAGTGGTCACTGACTCAGTGATATTACCATGTGTACGTCAGACGGCATCTTTGGTTTAGGCGTTGCGAACGAGCTTCGTAAACCCGGGGTGCCGGGTTCGATCCCAGGTGCGGGCATTGCGTCTTGCATTGGTTTCGACAGTGATATCGAGAAGCGGACCGTTCAGATAGCAATGGCAAAACTACTGAACCTAAATTTGCCTTAAAAAAACCACAACAGCAAAAAAAAAAAAAAAAAAAAAAATTTGCTGACGTTGGTTCTGCAACCTCATGTAAAGGGACACAGCTAATTTAACATCAGACGTTCAGCCTTGTAGCACGTGGTGGAGCAGGGGCATCTGAAATGTTCTCTTGGGTCTGTGCCTTCCTGGACGGTGGGCATGATATGGATAATGGCCAGATACAAGTGTAGGAGATGATCGGCAGCTACAAGTATTGGAGACCATCGTTAACTAATAGAAAATTGTTAACTACTAGTGGGGGAGACCATCGTCAGTCAAAAGTGTGGCCGCTTATCGCCTGTCATAAGTGTGGGAGACCTTACCAGCCATAAGTGTGGGAGACCTTACCAGCCACAAGTGTGGGAGATCACTGCCAGCCACGAGTGTGGGAGACCATACCAGCCACATGTGTGGAAGACGATCAGCACCTTTACGTGTAGGAGACAATCGCTGGCCACGGATATGGCCAACTAAATACACAGTGAGCGACATCAAACATTCACCAAAGAACAATGGACTAGATTTTAAAAACCTGCGAGATTGCAAGAGGCACATACACTACGTAACGTTGGCATACATAGATCCCCTATAAATAACGACTGACATCAGTTCCATATACGGATGACATATTATCATTACCACTACACCGCATACATAACATTGCCAAATGAAGCTTACATCGCGGGATGAGTCCGATTCCCAGGCTACACTGGAATCCATGAAGCTCTGCAATAGCAACAGACTAGATGCAGCGCATTTGACCAACAACATTAAATATTAACATCAACAAAATCACATTTGTTAACATTTTCATAAAAACTGGCCTTGGAATAAAGACAATGATGATTCTGGTAATGATGATGGTAGTGTTGATGGGGATAATGATGATGTGAATTGGTTAGATGTAGACATGATGTTAGAGAACACGTGGATCTTGTTGTGCATAAGCTGGTCAATGAGCTGCTGCTGGAGAAAGTTATTTGTCAAAGGTAAGGATGTTGTTGCTGCTACTGTTGCTGTTACCGCCTTCACAGAATGTTGTGATTGTTGCTGTTGTTGCAGGCGTTCGTTACATAGTTGCTGATTTTCAGGTGATGTAGGCGGTGTCATATAGGCTACATGTAAATTTGTCACTGGCTGAATGCCTGATGAGAAGTTGTAAAACTGATCATTTCTGTTGTCCACGGAATTCAACAGTGCTTCCATCGCCGCTTCGCTGGTCAAATGTCTATTCTGGGAACCAAATGCAGACTGAAACGGTGAAATGGGGCTCCCACAAATCTCTTGCTCCTGCTTGAAACTGTATTGGTTATTCAATTGTCGATGGATAGATTGTTCTAGAAAATTTAAGTTCTCTGCATTTGTGGCTATTGTGTCCATAAAATTCATTTCGGTAGCCAGTTGGTCCTGCAGTGGAGGTGTGTAGGCTATTCTACTAATATTCTGCTGACAGTTGTGCTGGCGAGTCTGTGGGACATCAATGTAATCACTTGGAATGCTGCACCGATTTCCTGTTATTGAGACTACAGAACTAGGCAAAGAATCTTGTTCGGTTTGTTCGTTCTCCTGTTCAAAATGGAAGTTATTCATAAATGCGTAGTCTTCAGGATTCGGTAGCTCAGTAGGCAAATCAGGTCTGTCCTTTGTCTTCTCAAGCAGCTTCAGACTGGCGGCCAGAGCGCTGATGTAGTTGCATGCATACCTTAGTGTTTCGATCTTTGTCATTTTGGCCTCTGTGGAATTTGGCAGTGTCGTTCTCAAAACTTCCAAGGCCTCATTGAGACCATGCATTCTGTTGCGTTCTCGGTCGTTGGCTCGCTGTCTGCGATTCGTTTTCAGCTTCTGGATCACCTGGTTGGGAAATAAAATAATACATTAGTTTCAAATTTTGAAGTAATCTTATTTCCTCTTTTCTTTAACTCGGTATAATGCTCATGATCATCAAAATCATTCCCATGATCGTCATCATCGTCATCATCAGCTTCTTCTTCTAATTGTTTTTCTGCGACTTCTTTCTTTATTTCATCATGACTATCTTTCTGTCTTTTTGTCTTTCTTTCTCACTTTCTTTCTTTTTCTTTCTTTCTTTCTTTCTTTCTTTCTTTCTTTCTTTCTTTCTTTCTTTCTTTCTTTCTTTCTTTCTTTCTTTCTTCTTTCTTTCTTCTTTCTTTCTTTCTTCTTTTCTTTCTTTCTTTCTTTCTTTCTTTTCTTTCTTTCTTTCTTTCTTTCTTTTCTTTCTTTTTCTTTCTTTTCTTTCTTTCTTTTTCTTTTCTTTCTTTTTCTTTCTTTCTTTCTTTCTTTCTTTTTCTTTCTTTCTTTCTTTTCTTTCTTTCTTTCTTTCTTTCTTTTTTCTTTCTTTTTTTTCTTCTTTTCTTTCTTTTTTCTTTCTTTCTTTCTTCTTTCTTTCTTTCTTTCTTCTTTCTTTTCTTCTTTCTTTCTTTCTTTCTTTCTTTTCTTTCTTTCTTTCTTTCTTTCTTTCTTTCTTTCTTTCTTTCTTTCTTTCTTTCTTCCTTTCTTTCTTTCTTTCTTTCTTTCTTTCTTTCTTTCTTTCTTTCTTTCTTTCTTATTATCGTTCTGTCTTAATATCGTTCTGTATATCTTTCTTTCATTATGTTTTTTCCCTTTCTTTTCCCTTATGCTTTTCTTTCTGGTTCTTTCCTTACTTTAGATCCACACATTAGTATAACAATGGTTTTAAAAAAAATCACTCATAGTCTCTTGATGATCCGACTCACTGTGCAGTTTCTACTGTCCTGGGGTGTTCGGATTGTTACTCAATATGTTACACTTGAACAAAATGATAGACATGAATGCTGCACTGTGGACTCAACCACAAGCTGGATCACGACCAAAGCCACAGAACGAACGTTAAATACATTCGAAAACACACACCCGAGGACAATAATGAAAATAAAGTGGGATGAGTCCACGAAAGGCAAAGAAGATGGGGATATACTGTGGGGAGACGAGATTAGAGAATCGCTAAACAGGCACTTAAATGGGACACAAATGATGGGAGGAGACGAGTATGCGCAAAAGAAACCATGAGATGAACGTCCATGAAAGAAGCTAAACGTGCTGGAGTGGATCTCAATCAGTGATATGGAAACAATTACACAGGACAGAATGGCGTGGACAAAATATATAACAGCCCTATGTAACCAATAATAGCATATCGGGGTGATGATCACCACACACAGACACACACATATATATAAACACACACACACGTATACCTCTAATCCCTTATAAGGGCGGTTGGCACGCTATGTTGTTGTTTACAGCTAGGCTGCGATATAAACGCCGTTTCGCCCAGCATATACGATTTAAGCAAAATCTTTATTAAGAGCTTGCAAAAAGCAGTTTATCTAATAATGTTTAAAAACAATTTACAAAAAAAAATTAACATCTTGTCTTCAAACATTTATTGTTTAGCGTAAGCCACCTTATTTTCCAAGAAACCAATTGCTATTTAAAAATGTACAAACTCATCCACAATAAATTTAAAAAAAAAGACATGGGGGGGGGGGGGGGGGGAGGAGGGAGGAAATGCTTCATAATTTCACAAATGTTCATTTATTCTTAACTGGATGGGATGAAATAATACGTTTTGTCCCTATTCACATTTTTTTCATTCCCCAATATTAGATACTATTCCATAAACCGAAGTCTATACGACGGTTCGAACCTTCTAGTTAAAATCCAAGCCGCTTTAGCCATTCCGCCAATAACACTTTAAAACAAAAGCAAAAAAAAAACTTCTAATTGTGCACAATTCAAAACGTCTTACCTCTGGACTTTTCACCTTGGCTCGAGTTTTACGAATCCGCTTCTTCTTTGGGCTGTCACAGTCCGTCTGCAGCTGCTTCCCGCGTTTGTGCTGCAGGAACTGCTGGTCAGAGGCGTTGAATAAACCTTCACTGGAGGTTGGTTCATCTGTGGTTACTGACATGGCCTCCATGTCTGTACTGTAGGAGTCGAGACTATCAAGGCTAAGAAATTTGTCGTCAAAAATAGGGCTGTCCGGGCACAGTTTTAGCAACATTGCTGCAGGTGCTTCCAATATAGGTCTCTTGTGTCGATGGTGTATGAAAACAGCTCAGTTGATATTTTCCTTACTCGAAGTTTCTTTGCATGGAGTAAGAATCACAAAACACAGTTGAAAATTTGAATTCCTTGGTAAGAGTCAGTTGTATGCGAACTTCGTGAAGTTTTCAAACAGATGTACTCTTTAATACACTCTGTTTAATTCTAGATAACGTAGAAAGTTAGTTCAATGCTATTTTTAGAGATGTATATATTTAATAATCGTTATCAGGTAAAGTTGACTTGAGTCTGTCGTCACAGTTTGTGCTAATGCCAAATATAAAAGTGAACACTATTTTACTATCTGCTCCTAGAATAGAACTAAATGCCAGTGAAATGCAGCAGACAGTTTAAAAAAAAGCTGTTATAAATTCTGAACCAGGTCCTATGATAACACAGCTACAATGTAAGAAGTGTCCAAGCAGGAGAGATGGAAGTTCACGCTACGGCGAAGGTCACAAGCCCAGACTGATGTCGCGATATTGTTGAATGACTGATGGAGAGAAGATCCACACAGCCGGGTCCCGCTGGTCGGTCGGGTCGTCACGGGGATACTGACTGGGTTCTCTCCGACACCGCGCCCTTTTCTCCCTGTCTCCTGGCTGGAGGGGGAGGGGACAACCCAGCAGTGGGAGGACAGGGCGTGTCTCCAAGATTGACAGCTATGGGTGGGGGGTGGGAAGTCAGAATGGTATCATGGCGGGAGAGAGAGGGTGGCTAAAAACTGTAAACATTTATTTGCACTATGGCCACACAAACACACACACACACAAACGCAGAGCTACAGACACAGACACACACACGCACGCACGCGCTCACACACACACAATATATGAAAAAATAGCTACATCCGTTGATTCACATACATTGTCACGATGACACTAGACTTGAAGCGAAAACACAACAAACAGAAACAAACTTAAAGAAAATAAACTAAAAAAATATGTCTAACCGACGTGGAGACATGACACAATGCCAAAGTTTAAATGGACGAACAACTAACACTTTTCGCTGAGAAAAATGAAGATGAAGAAGAAGAAGACGTGAGGTGGGGTGTGGGTGGAGTGGGAAGGGGGCCAGAAAACCTGAGCGGATCATTGGAATAGGATAGAAATGGTTGATCAGGATCTAGACGTTTGCTGTATGGTGCTCATGTTGCACTTGTCCTGCTAGACCTAGATTAGAGGCCAGTAAATATATTATCAATTCTTCTTTTCCTGTTTATTTTCGTTCCTCCGTGTGTTGCAGTTTCATTGTGTCTGTTTACAGCGAAGCTGCGACATATACGCCTTTCGGCCGACACTCCGACTTTATCGTGCGTTTGTTGACCAGGTAAACTTCCCGGATTGATTAATTCAAAAATATTTTCGGTTAGCACGGCTTTTTTTTTTTTTTTTAAGGAGGCCGTAAATCTACTAATTTTTCCACACAATAAGGCCCAAAGCACACACCGGGATTAAACATGTGAAATGACATACGGGGATCAAACATGTAAAACGACATACAGGGATCAAACATGTGAAACGACATACGGGGATCAAACATGTGAAACGACATACGGGGATCAAACATGTGAAACGACATACGGGGATCAAACATGTGAAACGACATACGGGGATCAAACATGTGAAACGACATACGGGGATCAAACATGTGAAATGGCCGGTAAACGTTGACAACCCCACAAAAACCACAGATTTAGTATTTATGAGAGTTTTTTCAGGCTCTTTTTTTTATTTCACCTAATCTCGGGAAATCCGAAATTTCGTAGTGAATTTTCATGAAATTCGATTAGTATAGGGGTATAAAGCTGTACAATTAATTCAGAACAACACTATAGTCTCCCTCCCCCTTTGCTATATTAGACTTTCCCGGAAGTTTCCTACGAAACCTCTGCGCCCCTGAGATAGGGTGAAATAAAAGAAGAAAGCCCAAAAGAAAATATCATAAATGCTAAATCAGTGGTTTATGTGGGTTTGTCGCTAGTAAGATAAGAACAGAGTTGGTTGATAAGTATGCATGTGAACTTTAACGGGCTGACTCTAAACTCACACTTGCTGAAGCAGATGCTGGTTTGTCCATTGAGTTCTTCCTGTTGTTTGCACGAGTATGGCTGTCAGTTGTAATTAGGTCAAGGTCGTCCATTGTTTCATCCTTTGATAGGACCTTTAGAGTTGCACGTTTTGTTGCTGAAGCAGAACTGATAGGGCTTGCGTGGGTCAGGGAAGTCAGTGTAGAGAATCTGAGATGTGGTGTATGGACAGTCTGTTTGACAGAAGGACAAACAGATTAACAGACAGTCTAGTGAGTTGGTAGATAAGCAGATGGACAGACAGACAAATAATTATAAAGATAAATTTACGGTCAGAAATACAGATAGATAGATAGATAGATAGATAGATAGATAGATAGATAAATAGATAGATAGATAGATAGATAGATAGATAGATAGATAGATAGATAGATAGATAGATAGATAGATAGATAGATAGATAGATAGATAGATAGATAGATAGATAGATAGATAGATAGATAGATAGATAGATAGATAGAACATGTATGCATATGTGTATTTTTGAAGAAAAAAATGTTTTTTTTTCCATTGATGCTATTGTTGTTTTACACCCCTTTCCCCCATTAATACACGCATTTTACTATATGAATATTACGTGCTTTAGGATAAAAATACAACTGATAAACTGGATAGACTGAACTTAAAACGAGCGTGTGCGCCAAATGTGTGACCATTGAAAAACAAGTTTCGTTTGTTTGTGGGATGGATAGATTGCTAGGCAGGTAGTTAGCTAGGAGGGTGAGTAAAGAGGTGGTTATGAATAAACAGCCGTATCGATAGGTAAACAGACGTGTAGATGGGTTGCTAAGTATGTTGGTTCGTAGATAAGTATATAGATATATTGCTTTATGAGTAGGATGATAAGCAGTTTTTAGCAACACTGTTTACTTTTTCGATAGTGATTTAAATGTGTTGCTAGTCCTTAACACCAACCTAATATCTTTCAATACCATAATATTTAATAGCAAATGCTAAAGTGGAGGAAATTATGAATATAAACTGAGGCTAAGCAGGTCGGAGTGACCACTTGAGTTGCCAGATTTTTTATAGAATGCTGAGACCAAATTTAAAATGTAAAAGAACACATTGTTTGCTGGTTATGATTCACGAGTTTAAACCCATTGAACACTTTGACGAAAAGAGTTATGTGCTGTGATTTGCATGCCTTTTTCTTGCACCGTTTAAAACTCTGTCACCCAACAACAAGAACAATAAACATGTATGTATATCGCAGCAAAGTACCCTGAGACTGATTCATTAACGAAACGCAGACATTGTTACGAAAGACTAATAAAAATATATTAAAACTGATGTCATTCACAAATTACCGAAGGTTGTAGAACCTCGCCTAATGTATCAGAAGGTCCCGCCACGTGGCCTAAATGCACCTCACGTGCATTGTCAATCTGCGCATGTCACATGTATACTTCCTGTGACGGGACTGTTAAAACACACAAAACTCTAACCCGGGTCCACATGAAGCGGAACGAAACACTGGCCGACGCTGTAAAGAAGTCTCCGCCCATGTGAAAGGTTGGGACACGTCGGGACTTGAACCATGTGATTGGATAGGGCACAAATCGATGTGGGAATGAACGGGAGCGTTGGTAGGCGTGCGGGGATCGCGTGTCGTCGCAAATAGCCAACATTATTCTTTGTGGCAACAATATAATATTGTATATTCAAGTTTTTATATTTGTAAAAATGTTTACAATTATGAGGCGTTGAAAAATTTAGTTTTTGTGAGGATTCGGTAAGAATTGGCTGGTATCTGGTATATACTACAGAAAGTGTATGAAAACTGTAAAAAGACCACATAGCGTGACAGGTAATCAGATAATGCATTTCCAACATCATAGGAAACAGGTAACCCCATAGCTGCTGTATTCTAACAGTAAGCATACAGAACAGGTTTAAACAACGGATCCACATTACGGCAAAGGGTAGTAACCCACAAGTGCTCCGTTCTACTTCTAACCCAAGCCAGAGTCCGAAAAATCTCACCGCAGTGCACCGTCTCAGTAGTACCGGAGAGGATCCTAAAAACTTTGGGTAGATTTGAAGCGACTGAGCGCGCCCTGGCTCGGTTGCCGATCATCTGATAGACTGCGACGCCTAGCGGCACAAGCAGATTTTGACGAAAGAAGAAGAACAATATATACAGGCGTCAGATCTCATTACCCAGAGACAGGAGGAAATTACTATCAGTCCACGAGAAATTAATCCCAGCCTTCACCGAGGCTTGAACCTGGAACGTCCAGCACTCGAAGCGGACGCCCAGCCCCGAGACCACTCAGCAACCCCCACCCCCCCCCCCCCCCACTCCCAAAGCAGAATACCCATCTTTGTTACTTGACAAAGGTTGCCGTCTCGGCAAAGCCAGTAGCATTACCACGCATTAAATACATAAGGCAGCCGTCAGTTGTGCCACCACAAATAGTCTTACTCTATAAATTCAACAGCCTCGATTGACGCAGCAGTTACAGCAGATCAGCAGTTACACACGTTATTAATTGTATAAGTAGGTAACAATTCTTTTTTGACACCAGAAATGTCCGGAACCAACCAATCAGTCAACCAATCAGTGGCTTTTACTTCCCAGGACTGTATCTGGTACCCACACAAGGCTGGGTCGGCCTGGAAGCCAAGGTCATTTTTGAAAGAAAAAAAAACCGAACCCACAACCTTCCGATCCAGAGGCGAGCGTCTAGCCGCTAGACCACGGCGACTCTCTCGTCCATCTATTGTAACGGCATCTACTCTCATTCTTATCATCATCATCAACAACATCACCGCCTTCTTCTTCTTCTTCTTCTTCTTCTTCTTCTTCTTCTTCTTCTTCTTCTTCTTCTTCTTCTTCTTCTTCTTCTTCTTCCTGCTCTTCT